ACCATGGCCTCAGATTTGGAGGTGCTGATTCTCATCCCAGCCGCTTCACACTCGGCTGCAAACCGTCCCAGTGCATGCTGCAGGTCCTGGTTCGTTGGAGCCAACAGGACAACATCGTCCGCAAACAGCAGAGATGAAATCCTGTGGTCCCCGAACCGGACCCCCTCCGACCCCTGGCTGCGCCTAGATATTCTGTCCATAAATACAGTGAACAGAACCGGTGACAAAGGGCAGCCCTGTCGGAGGCCAACATTCACCGGGAACAGGTCTGACTTACTGCCGGCAATGCGAACACAGCTCTGGCTCTGGTCATACAGGGACCGGATGGCCCTCAGCAGAGGACCCCCGACCCCGTACTCCCGGAGAACCCCCCAAAGGACACCCCGGGGAATACAGTCGAACGCCTTCTCCAAATCCACAAAGCACATGTGGACAGGTTGGGCGAACTCCCATGAACCCTCGAGTATCCTCCTCACTGACTCTACCAAATCCTATACAGAATATATTACTTTTTCAACTTTGTACCATACTCCTGGGTTCGAAATTACATTATGGGGATACATTTTACGTACACGCGTAACGTATGAATGAATACGCGGTCATAATCCCTCCCGAAATGTATTGATTTTCTAATATTTGCTCGTGGAGAGATGGTAACATTATGTACTCGTGAAGAAGATGATAAAGTCTGGGATCGCGTCTTTCATTCAGACAGAAGACATGCTTTATTGTCGATGGTAGAGACAGCAGAGATAGTCAAAACAAGTAGTGGAAAAGTACAGGCTTCTGCACATTGATAGAATGATGAGTTTAACTTTAACAACAGTTACTTAAAAGTGTTATGAAATCTCACACTAGTAAAAAAGATAAATTACGTTTCATTTATGTGTGTTGTTTCTCATGGATGTAGCCTCATCACTAATCCTCTTCCATAGTATCTTATCTCTTGATATCTAATGGTGAAAGGAAGTCAATATTAATACAAAGTCAGAGATTTCCATCTTTTTTAAATTAGATATTTTTGTGTGGATGTTTGATCGGCTTTTAATTATTATTTGGTGGTCATTTAACAACATCTTCTCTTTTTCTCCCCAGAGCCATCCTTGATCCTCTTTCTTGCCCTCCCACCTTTGTCCACTTCCCCGTTTTCACATCTGCTTTTGATTGATACTGTTTTTTGACTCCTGCATTTCCACCTGACCACAATCTCTGTCTCCTCCCCTCTGATTTGTACGCCTCACTGATTGATACACCGTTTTTTGACCCTTGCCTGTCCACCTGACCAAGATTTTGTCTTTCATAATCATAATGGAGGATAAATGGGATGAAATGTTTCTTCTCCTCACAGAGAAGATTTATCCTGAGGGAATGAATACATTTCAGACAGAACTTGAGGAAGTACTCCCATAAATTCACTGCAAAGGGTAATAATGCATTTGCTATTATGGTTATACATGTCTTATTGTTCTTCTGTTGTTTTATTATAATTCAGTTGTTATAGATGGTGAGCTGTTCCATGACAAAAGAAGAGCCATTAAAACAAGACACGAGGCACAGAAACTATTTAAAAGAGTTTCATGCTACACCCACGGGAGGCCACACTGGCGTGAAAAAAACCTGCCATTTGTTCCAGGTTTTACTGGCGTGGCAGGACTGATGATTGACAATATGGTATGTTTTTTCCTTTTATTTGTCTGTACAATTCCCTTCCCTGTCTGTTCTTTTTAAGATTTATGAGTGTGACCAATGTCAACGTGAGGGAAAGTCTCTGGGTTCAGTTGCACCACTCCAAACAATAAAAGTAATTGTATTTATTGTTCCTATCCAACCAGCAGTGTACATTAATGCATTCAAATCCTGTTTGCTTGTTAGGTGTCTGTTTGGGAGCTGTTGGGGCCCTTCCCCAAAACTACTGATGGCTATCAGTACATATTTACAGCCACGGATTATTTTTCAAAGTAGGTAGAGGCTTTCCCATTTAAAAACTAAGACGGCTGTGGAGGTTGGGCAAAGACTTTGCTTTATAATATACAGGGGTGCCCAAAATGTATCCTGTCTGATCAAGGGCGGGAATTTGTAAATGAAGTAAATATTGTTTGTGTACTTCTTGTTCATACTCTTATTCATTTTATTTTCATTGTTTCAGCTCAATGTTACTCTGTGTTCTCTGCTGGGCATTGAGAGAAGCGTCACCGCTGCGTACCACCCACAGACTGATGGATTGGACAAAAAGACCAACCACAACATAAAGAGGCAAGAAAGTGTCCAACAAGGCTCAGTGATTCAGTTCGCTCCTTCACCACAAAACAAGGCCAGTAGAAAGACACACACATATTATCATTTAAAAAGTACATTTTTAAATTGTCAGATGTTCATGTCTTTACTAAATCTTAACACTCAGTTCCCATAAATGTTTTTCTGCATAAAACAGTTTGTTTAAATAATCATCCTCCAGCAGTCACATGACGCATGTGTAAAAAAAGCCAGCATTGAGGAGCAAGGTTGTAATTGTACAAAGTTCTGACCTGATGGGTATTATTATGTTTTTCTCTAATGCAGGTCATTGATTCCGATCTACGTGTGCTGGTGAACAAAGTAGAGGTGACATGTGTCCTTTACATTGGCTTGTTTCAGCAGAAACCTGTTCCCCAGCTCTCTGCTGTTGTGGGCACAAGCCTCTGTGCGTGGCCAAATGAAACCACTTACAAAGGAAGTTCCAATTTCCGTGGGCCAAATATTCCTTGCATACCCATATGGTTACAAAGACAATAACACTTTTTGGTTCCACTTTTTTATAGATGAAATTTCCAGAAGAGGCTCACTGGATCTGCCCTATAAAGACTGGAGGCCACTGGGTGTTAGTGGTCGTCCTCATGGAGGATAAATCAGTATTGCTCATTGACCCCATGGGAAACGAGGCCCTTTACAAAACAAACATCCTCAAAAACTGGAGGTTTGTCTAATCTGAAAAGTTATCATGAGACTTGTTTTGTAACTGTTCATCTCACTTTAGGAAGTTTCTGAGGCAGGCGAATAGAGGCAGTGGTCAATGGACTGGGCAACACGTCCTCATACACAAACGACAATATGGGTCGATTGTCACAACTCTGAAATCGGTCTATTTGGGCGTTTTTTTTGCCTGGTTGGGCAGCTTCGCTGCGGCCTAAATGGTCGTTATTTTTCAGTGTATGGTCACGCGACGCAGCAAACCCAGGGACGCGTTTACAAACAGCATCACATTCTGTCAGAACTGCAAACAATTCATCTGCGCAAGTGTCATATTGCGCAATGCGCATTACAATGCACACACCAGCCGCCATCCTGTTCTATCCTCCTAACAGTCTCCAACACTCACAATAGTTACCACAATAGAGTAAGCTATGTATAATAAAAACACGAACACGTGCCTTTAGTGCAGTTTCCCCACACAACCAATCAAGAGACAACAAGAAGGCACGCCTATTGCATGTAAGGCTCCTTACGTTTCATCCAAAACAAAACAATAATTTCATACCTTATTTTCATATGCAGAAGATGGAAGCAGTGGTCATCGTTGGTCTGTGCAATTCTGCCTTTTCCCCTCCAAAAACGTGTAGTTGAATCCTCTGTGTTCAGACGAAAGGGAAAACTTTGCAGAATAGATCCATGTCGGGGTCTTACAACGGGCCTATGAGCATCGTTTAACAGCATGTCGTCAGTTTACTCCATTGATAAGCACGTCCAGTTTACAACTCCTTTAGATATCGCCACGTTGATCGTTCCACATTTTGAAGTCTTCAGAAGTTCAGATCACCATGTTAAATCTTGCGCAGGTTTAGTCCAAAGGTGGGACAAACAAATTTGAGATTGATAGTCAGTAGCTGAATAACGATTGGTCAAAAGAATGTATGTCCAGATAGGCGTAATAACGTGCGCCACTTTATGTGGCCTACTCCAAGACATATCATGTAAGCCTGCAATATAAAAGCACAAAACTCCACAAAACTTTAGACATGGCATCCCGCGCCCAGGAAATATAAAACGACCGAAAACAAGCGCCTAACTCTCAGACAACCAATCACATCACAGAGGTGGGACACGTCGCTATAGCAACCAGACAAATCACGACGTCACAGTCTCCTTTTTGTCAGACTTGTGCTGTGGATTCGCTCTCAGGTAAGAGGCCATTGTTTTCTTGTTTTCTTAATTATTTTTCTTAATTCGTCTTTATTTTGTCTTAGAAAAGTAGTAAAAAAAAGAAAGAAAGAAAGACAACTGAAGAAAGAAATATCGATCGTCAGAGGTGGGCAGAGCAGAGGTTGGTCACTTTGCACAAGTTCATAGCCTACGAGCCAAAATGTGTCTTTATACATTATAAACGACTTAAGGCCGTGTACAGTATATCAGGTTAGTTTAAAATTGTAAGCATTATATAGAGTAAGAGTAAGATGGTGAGCCCAGCTAGTTGGCTTGTTTATACATGAGGCTAGGCGGGAATTATGTGCAGTGTCCGCATGTCTTAAAATTAAACCTACAGAATCCGATGTGCTCATGGCATATTCTCTATGATTACAGAACAGTGCACCATGTTTGCTTGTCTTTCTTCACCATGATACATGTATTGCAGTATGTAGCTCATGCCCAGTTGAGTAGGCTACCACTTTGAATGAATGCCTAAATATACAGCCAAGGGTGGGCCTGCGTCAGCACTAGGATGGGAGCCTGAAACCACTCCTGAGAGGAGGGGTCAGGACTGCCATAGCTACAGCATCTAGATCTACAGCACTTGTTTACAGTTTTACTAAATAGAATATTCTTTGTTCGGGGCTCTATAGTGTTGATAACAAAACATACCTAGCGTATTACCACTGACTATAAAGTTAACAAATAATATAAGACTTAAATACTTATACTTGAAGCGATAGAGCATTACTCTTAACATGTAAACATATGTATATTCAGTAAATAAAATAGTAATTGTTTTGTTGAAGCATTTTCTTTTCTTTCTTTCTTTTTTAAAGATGGCGTTGAGACAATTTGAAGAGTGGCTGGAAAAGGGCAAGTCTTTGGCCAATGACCTGGCACAACAGCAGGTAAATTTCCTAGATTTTACATTGGCAAACCATTTGCACCCTATGAATGCTGTGCAGTGGTGCATAATCTAATGCTGCCTTCATGTGGTAACGAAATGAGGGTAAATGCTGCTTTTATATTTTCCACTGTAAAGTTGAGAAGTAATTTTGATACCCGAGTTTAGGAGCTGAAATAACCTTTGAGCTTTCATCAAGGTGGAGATCTGCGATCATACGTTTTATAAAAAAGTTTTTAGCTGATATGAAGCCTACACTATTTATTTAGTATAGCCTACGTAAATATATTTATTAAAGCTTTGGACTTGGTGTGCTAATCAACAACAGAAGAAAGTGATGAGATACAAGGCTGTTTGTGGAGAGCAAAGATAGCTGTTAATTGCATAATTAGTGAATTAACCACATGTAGAGCGAAGAGTTTTCCATACTGGGATCGAAGCCTGCTTTGGCTGTGTCTGCAACAGCAGTGCTGCCTCAGAATTTACAGTACTTCTGAAGTTCAGAAAATCATATGTTTTTCAACTGTGGTGCAGTCATATCCAAATATAATTTTTATAAGTGATTTGACTTCTTGTTTAGGTGTCATTGAAAAGAAAGCAAACCTGCACACCTGGTTGCAATGTGAGATGGAGAAAAAAAGACAGCAACGGCTACCTTGTAACCGAGCCAAAGCGTCTTAGATCTCGTTCTGGTTGGTTTAATGTGTCTAGGTTATTACAATACATCAAGCGTCTTTGTTTGGATTTGAGATCATGATTATACATTCTTGTATTATATAGCTCCCCGAGAAAGTACTAGCAAAGCCCAGTTTTCCAGTTCAATTGAGGTTGAACACCCCCAAGAAGACGGGATGCTTGGTAAAACATCTACACTCTCAATATTATTTGACTTTTCGTGTATTGTCACATAATTATAAATACTGTGACTATAATTTGTCAATGTTTTTTATTAGCTCCCCATGCTAGTACTAGCAGAGCTCAGGACCATGAAAATCATCCTGAAGAACATGATCTTGGTAAAACCTTTTTAATCTATACTTATTACAGAATTTGATATTCCCATGATCAGACTCATTGTTTTTAACTATATAGTATTCATGTTTTCATGGCATATGTTTATGTTTTAGAGTTCTATCTTAATCAACTGGCTGACCTCATTGCCTCCACTGATGTTCCCTCGCCAACTGAAGAAGAACCACCTTTGGTATCAGAGTGGGCAAAACGGCAGCAACAGTTGGGAGAGCAAATGAAGACTATCAGGCCAGTTCTTCTTAACAGCAGGCTGTCTGGTCAAAAAGTCTATCATGATGCTTGCCAAATGTGTGATGACGAGTCAGCTGTAATAAGGTGTATGGACTGTGTTCCCTCTGGGCACCAGTTTCTCTGCTCCTTGTGTGATGTTGCTGTCCATGAGAGGAACGTTTTCCACAACAGAGAGACTATGCTGGAAGGATTTTTTAATCCAGTTCCACCAACGCTGGCTGTTGTGAAAGATGATGATGGACACCTGCAAGTTTGCAAGCAAGGTATACTGCATTTTCCTCTAAACTATTTTAATGACAGTGTAAATGACAAATATATTGTTTTTCTAGTTCGTTTGTTGCCACTTGCTGCCCCTAAGTGTTCCTGTTCTTCCTCTGCTTTGACGCTAAGTCCAGGAAAGCAGATTTTGCTTGTTACTTTCAATGGTATGTAAATAAACATTTTTGCACTCAGTTAAATAGAACAATTTCAAACATTTCACACCAAGTACCACCTAGTAAAGTATTTCATCTTCCAAGTACTAAGAGGCCTAAATTAAGACCAAATAAAACTAAATTGGGTCTAAAATACACCTAGTTTTAGTACAGTATGTACTGTATATGTATAATTTAAATTGTTAAAACAAATAAAGTCTAAAATTGTAGATGACCCTGAGCACCACCTGAAGAGACCCAAGTACCACTAGTGGGGCATGTACCATTGTTTCAGAACCACTGAAATAGAAATATTATGTTTAGTCATATTAAACATTATACGCACAATCTGACATAAATTGAAATAACATTTTAACTATGCACATGATTTGTTTCTCTCTTAAGGTCCATATCGGCTCCACTTGCCAATGGCAAGTTGTACAACATGCTCCACCAAATGGACACCAAGCTTAGCTGATCTTATGAAATACAGATACTGGCCTGCGACCCCCAGCTGCCAAACTCTGTACAGCTTTGATGTATTAAGATCATTTGAGCAGATTAAAAACTCCAGTCCAGCATTTTCCCAGCAGGCTTTCCTACGAATGCTTGAAAATAGAGCACTCCAAAATGGGAGGGTAAATGGCAGCCATGTAATGTAAATTTTTATCATTAACATTACTTAATGAGATTAAACATTCTTTCTATAGGAAGGCACAATCTGTGGTGATGCTTTCCATCGAAGCTTTCGGGAATTTGCATACTGCAGTTTTCAGGAAGGCCACATGTGTATGGAACAGCCATTTGTATGCCCAGCCTGCACTCCAGACATGCTTGCTGTTTCAGTAGACGGCAACAGGAAGCATTATCGTTTCCGTAACAGCAAAGGGTTGGTATACCGCCTACCTACTGTTAATTGAACACTGCCTTAATATAACAGATCAATTACACATTCTACAGGACGGATGAGACAGCATTATTCGATGGCACCTTCATCGCCAAGGACAGGGAGGTAGAGGTTTTTGTGGACCATGTTCGGAGCCAGATGCCTAGTGTAAGTACAAAAATGATATCCGATACAAAATATCCACAAAAATACTACTTTTTAATAAAAAAACAAACAAACAAACAAGTGCTATCCACATAAAATGTTGAAGACCCATGTCCAAATTACTGTTAAAGGTCATAAATGACCAATCCATTCTTCCTCCACACATGCTACATTCTATGTCTATGTATTTGACTATTAATCTTATATTATAATCTGCCTTTTTCTGTCAGTAATCTTTCATAGTCATTTTTTTTTATTGCAGAGATCAGGTGCTTCTTTGTGTGGCTCAGCCTCATTCAAGGCAGGAAAAGAAACATCATGCAAATCGCTCTCTAAGATCGATGAGGAGGGTCTTCAAGTTGCGGTCTGCCGACATGGACTCCTGCTGAGAGCTCTTAACCACTATCGGGGAGAGATATTTGCCTACCCCATGTTCATTCAAAAGGAAGTTTACAGCACCTCAAATGTAAACTTCTTTTGCATGGATGTCACTTGCAAGTAAGTAGTCCTTTAAGGAATGTGCTCATCATTGATTTGAACATTAGTATCTTTAACTTATGTATCTTTTGTTGTTTGTAGATATTGGCCATATCTGGCAAAGGTAGCACAAAAAATCCCAGAGCTTCTACCACTGACAAATATGAAGCCTTTTTTGTCTGTTATGCACGCCAAAGCCCATACAAGCAAGTGTGAGGTACATGTTTTTCCGTGTTTTAACTGTATTCAAGTTTTTTTTGCATAGGTGCATTTGTAAACCATATGTTAATAATTGTGCAGGTAAAATGGGGAGGAAGGAGCCAGCTTGGTGCGGGAAATACAATTGGCGAAGAAGTGGAGCAGGTGAACAGCTTTTTGTCAAAAGCTGCTCTTACTACAAAGTACATGTCAAAAGCTGGTAAGTGGCATTACATCAAGATTCCCTCAATGTTTAAATGTGAAGTTTACTACTCTGGATGTTGTTCACTTAAAGGCCGAAATGACATGCTCACTGTGCTTGGCATTGGATGGAACAGAAGAAAAGTCCATGGACTGCACAAAGCCCTGGCACGTCGATTCACCAAAGTATGATGTTTATTACTTTTAGGACTTCTTCAACATAGCCACGCTGACACATTAATTCAGCTTTGATATCTTACATAAGAATACAACAACGCATTGCATTGGCAGAAGATGTCATTGAAAAATGTTGAACTGAAGTGTCATGGTCTCTCTTTGAAGTAACCTGCAGTTACTTCAGGTTACATTGTGTTCATAATGAACACAATGAAGTTGTGTTCATTATCACACAACTTCATTATGTGTGATAATGAAGTTGTGATAATGCAACTTCATTATCACACATCTGACTCCTATCTACTCAACCTGCAGTATTTAGGCCTGGTTCTTCCACAACGTCTCTGCCAGACCGGCAGTCATTGATCGTGTCCTTGTGCCAATCTCTGTCTCCTCTGTTTTCTGCCTGACACTCACCTGTGCTCATAGTTCAGTCTCCTCTGCCTTCAAGTGTGGAGAGAATGAATAATGTACCAAATTATTATAAAACAAATGCATTATTATTATTGACTAGGCTTCAACTATGCACACCTGTTAATAATGAATAAGGTACATTATGCTCCTTGTTACTTCACAAAGAAGAAATTATGATTTCCTTCCTGTTATAGACTTGTGAACGAGCACTCACAGAGCAGAGCAATCTGGAGGATCTCAAGAAAGAGCACAATCTTGCAGATAACACTGTGGAGCAATGGGTGTTTGAGGTCAGACAATGGGCAGAAACAGGTAATAAAAAGATAAATGATATAGAATTCTTTGCATAGATATTTTTGTAGTTATGTACAGTACTGAATCTCTTTTAGAGCGTGCATCATCCAATGCCAGCCAAAATGAGTTGCAGCAGGAAATTGAGGCCTTGATCTACAGTTTCAAAAGAAAAAAACATAATCTTTATCGAGACAATGGTTTGTAAGAAGAAGAAAACAACAAATAGTAATAACAATTTAGCAGTTTACTGACTCAATAAATGTTTCCAAAAATGTTATAGACAGCAATAAATCAAGGCAGGCAACCCGGCGAACTCTCAATAAGATGAAGACAAAGCTAAAGGGTACTATTATAATGTACAATGGAAAGGTCTCAGAAGACGAGAAGATTGACCTAGACGAAGCATGTAGTCTTTCTGAGAGCTTTCAACTTCCGTGGGAGACACAGGGTGATGGTAAGTTGCTATGCTACTTAGTTATTACAACACTATGTCTCTGATTTTATTCTTCTGCAGGTCTACGGTTAAAGCGACAAGTCTTTGACCAGGTGATGCTTGTTTCCCGTTTGCAAGAGGAAAAAGACATACTGCTGCACGAGATGATGCGTCACTGCACTTTCCTCCGACAGAAGGTTGGCCAATTGAATACTCGTATTGTAAAAAATACAGAGGACTTCAGCAACCAAGGTACGTTTTTGTGCATTTGTACAAATATATTTTTTACCAAAATTAAAATGTGCATACTTCATTTTCCAAACTTTCAGTCTGTCCTGAGGAACTAACCAAAGAGGGCTACCAAGGTCTTCACTGCTGCCTCCTTTATCAGCAGCACCACCTTAAGCAACATCTCCAAGAAGTCACTGGCACATACATGCGTGTGGCTACAAAGACATTTGTATGGTCACAAGATGAGATGCAAGATGAGAGTGATGCAGAAGATTCAGACTCTATAATGTCTGGTAATGACAGCGACACTCAATAGTTGATGAAGTTTTATTTTACTATATAGCCATAATAGAAATGTACTTAAGTGAAAAGTATTATACAGTGCCTCTCGAAAGTACTAATACACATGGAACTTTTGCACATTATGTCATGTTTACAACCATAAACATAACGATTTTATTTTGAATTTTCGGTAACACTTTACATGACAACCCGGTAACTACTAGGTAATTACCTAGTGATAACGGTAGTAATTACAGTGGTAATAACTAGTAACAAATATCAATAAAAGTGGTAGTTCTTGTGTAATTAAAGTAGTAGTTAATAGTAACTCTGCTCAATAACTGCTAGGTAATTGCCTAGTAATTACTAGTAATAAATATCAATAAAAGTGGTAGTTCTTGGGTAATTAAAGTAGTTATTAATAGTAACTCAGCTCAATAACACTGACAATGTAAGACTTACTGATGAGCATGTATAGCTCACCCCTATGGATACCAAAAATATAACACATTAATAACCCAATAGTTATTAGTACTATTATTAAGCAATTACTTAGCAGTTATTGGGCAGAGTTATTTCAACTACCATAGAACTACAACCTTGAATTTATATTTATTACTAGTAATTACTAGATTATTACTCAGTGTTATTGGGCTGAGTTACTATTAACAACTACTTTAATTACCCAAGAACTACCACTTTTATTGATATTTATTATTAGTAATTACTAGGCAATTACCTAGCAGTTATTGAGCAGAGTTACTATTAAGTACTACTTTGATTACACAAGAACTACCACTTTTATTGATATTTGTT